AATATCCCCCCAAAGCCCACTGTGAGAGAAGTAACATGTATTTTGACTTGTGTATGCATTTTATTGTACAATGCCGCATGGCTGTATTTATAGTCTGCAGGAAGAAAACTACTCCCTAGTAGTTTCTTGCATTTTTTTTCTTGGTAACCCTTTGCTTTTATTCAAGCAAAATGCAAGATAAATGCTCGTTTCGGCCTTTTAGATCTTGGAAATAATGCTGTATTAAATGTGATTAAGTTGGGAATTACCCTTAAGCAGGGTCATAATTACTGTAGATTTAGATGGCATGTTATACAAATTGCTGTGTGCTCATAATTACAAATTGAGTTTGTTGCACTCTGGGGGTTTATAAACTTTATCTTAGCTATTAACACATTAAATAACAGTGATTTATGTAAATTACTGGATAAACCAAAATTTCAGTGTTGTGCTTAATCTAAGCATTGTATTTCTGTATTAGAAATAAAATATGGTTAGTTTTAGGAAGGAAGATTGAATGGTCTAACATTCACTACTGAGATATTGTTAAATGTGGTAATAGTGACAAAATTGGAGCCGTCTTTCTAAGTTTGTCAGTAGAGTTTGCTGGTCACGCTGACTGAAAACTACAGTGGTACAAAGTGAATGAACTAGCAACTATAGTGAATGAGCCGGTTGTCAACAGTAAGCTCTTCCCATGGTCAGCCAGCCTGCTTGCTTCAGAATTATTTACCTCAAACTTCTGGACTGACCTAGTGAGCATAAGTTCATAGTTTGAAATCTTTGTTTACTTCCTCTTGCACAGACATTACCTAGTTCCTTAATTTTTTCTCTAAGTCATGTTGATTTTTTTTTTTATTTTTTTTTAATGGAGCAAAGGTAACTTTGTGTTGTACGATTAGTTGTGCTCCAAGAAATTGCCAGGAATAAGGATACTAAGACATGAAAAAAATCACTTTCCTATCTCCTTACCCTGCGCTACATATTTCTACAGTACCTTGGTGGCAGCTCTAATGCTAGTTAGTTGTCAAAATAGCAGTGAGATAACGACAGAGTATATGGCCTCTGTATGTCCTATTGGTTCTGCCAAAGTTTCCTATACAAAGTACAGATAAAGAAAGTGGTACAGAAGCCCACACTGGCTCTGTATTGTTAGAAGAGCCTCTCCTGCCCCTGTCTTCTAAGGCCTGAAACATCACCTCTGCATAAGCACTGCACCTATGTACTCAGGAGAGCAAAAAAATGTAGCTACATGCCACCAAAAAAATTGTCCTAAAAAGCCAAGCCCTGATGTCTATGAAAAATCACCACCAATTACCTGAGTGAGAATGGGTTATGCACTATGGATTATGGTTACTGTCACCTGAGGGAGAATGGGTTATGCAGTATGGATTATGGTTACTGTTATGTGAGGGAGACTGGATTATGTACTATGGATTATGGTTCAACAAAGATGGTTTTGGAATGTTGAAACATAGACAAAAAATCCCTCCAAAAATAATTGCATCAGGCTGCCTTGACTCGGAAACCACAATGCCATCTGCGTAGTGCAGCAAGAATTTGTTTTTCTGTGTTTAATTTCCCCTGTTGGAATACATGCAAGATGTTAAATACGTAGATGATTTTGACATTTAAGCTGTACTTTAGGTTTTAAAGACTTACTAAAACAAGAACTGATTTAACAAAAACTTTGTAGCAGAATGGTCGAAACAGAATTGATTATTCTGGATGCTTGACACTGGGGGGTGGGAGGGAAGCTGTAACAATTAGCCAGGTAGTGTTTGAAATGGGATGTGTTAGTATTGCTTGATTGTTTGCTTATCTAGCATGTTCAGATCTGCAGAAGGAAGATTGTTTGAAGCAGGTTCAGAAAAGCACATTCTTCAGAAAATTCTGTGACTGCTTTTGAGGTCAGAGCTTCTCGGCCACCCTTTCCAGTACATATCCTCCTTCACAGCCCACGCTAAAGCTGTCTGCACTTGGTTTCTAAATGGAAACTAGTTTCCAAAGAAGCAGTTGACTTTTGCGGACTGCTTATGTCTGCCTTGGATTTCTCTCTGTTTACAAGTAGAGATGAAGCTTGATACAGGAGGGCATTGAGTCAGGACCAGAAAAATGTGGGATTGTTGTCTATCCCAGAACTTCTGTAGGGAAGAGACTGTCTGGGTAACCATGAGATGTTGAAAGTAGGCATTGCAGTGTAAATAGTCCCTGGTTATAGACTTGCAGTGACATTACTATCAAAACAGTCAGTGTAGGTGTGTCCTTCCTTAACATATTTGAGTTTCACTGAAAGCTAGTTAAACCCAGGCTTATTGGAATCTATGCCTAACGCTTCCTTAGGAAACTATGCAAAATGCACACTTGATCCAAATGTTTAACTGGTTTACGTAAAAGTTGCTTTGATTCTTTTTATCATCCAGGAAGATGTGATTAGCTCTCATGGTATGTATTGTAAATAAGAGGTCTGTTGTATATACAGCACAAGGGCACAGCTGGGCCTTTCATTGCGCTCTTTCTTGTACCTGATCTGTTTGAGCAACATTTTTAGTTTCTGACTAAACTTCTGAGTTTCCCCAAACTACATAGAGCAGCCAGTGCTGCTTTTATGTGCTAGAGTATTTCCATTCCTAAAAAGTATAGTGCAAATTGCTCTGCCCTTACACAAAATTGCGCTAAATATTGTGCAAATGATTACGAATGAAGCCTTTAGTGGTAAACTTACCAACTGCCCCCCAACCCCACCCTCCAAGAAAGGTTCTTGTTTGCTTAATTAGCTTCCCCTTCTCCAGTACCCTGGCATCTAAATGAAGACAAGGAGTGTCTGTGGTTAGACAGTTTGCCCAGCTTACATAGACATGATGCTTATTTTGATGAAGGGAAACTTAATTTGGAAAGCGAGATGTTTTGATGGTTCTATGAAACAGGAAACCCAAAAGTTAAAACTTGTCTTGGTTTCTTGTGTTATTACACGATATTAACCATATGGGCCCTACTATTTTTTGAAACACTAATTTCTTTGTACCTATAAGTAGCACAATTTATCTACTGGTTTTATGGTGCAGTTTCAGCTGTTCTTTTGACCTGAAAAGCTAAAATTGCTGTAGGAATATTCTACCAAAGAAAGTGTGACTTAGCAAGTACTCTTCAAAATTATTTGATGTTTAGATCAGCAGAGTAACTCGGACTGCATTTTGAGCAGGAGCAGACAGTTGATAAGGTGATGTTCCCTCGGGACAAGTTCTGGTACTGGCTGACTCCTTGGATCTTCAGCACTCGGGTTAACCTTCCAGATATGCTGCAAACCCTTCTCTTTTCTAGGCTTTGGGAGAGGAAAGCTGGGAAAGCATCATGAAGCATAAGCATTTTTGTTAAAATATGTGTGTAAAATGTTATTGGGTGTGAGAAAATGATAAAATTTCAGTGTTCTCATTTGCAGGTGTGTGGTTTCTACAATAAGAGGTGTATATAAAAATTAAAGCACCTTTTATGGTATTCTAGGAGATGAGATGGTTTTCATTTATGAATTACTAAGTTACAATTAACTCTGTTTAGACTTGATTTCTTGCAATACTTTAATCACTACGTGGTGAATCTGCTTGAAAAAAATTAGGAAGGATTGTTATTCATGTGTCAGATACTGTGATGATGAAATTCAGTTGGTGTGGTTTTTTGGTTTTTTGGGTTTTTGGGTTTTTTTGGTTTTTTTTGTTTTTTTTTTTTATTCTAGTGAGGAATTCTTGCTTGCCAGAACTAGCTTTACTATTGAGCTACCATGTGTTTGGAGGAGGTGGAGGTTTCTTTCCATTCCCATTTAAAAATGCTGTGAGAACACTGAGGACATGATGCAGCAAAATCCACAAGCTTTCTAGGTCAGGTTTCAGTGGAGCAACAAAGGATAATAATTATAATCTTTTTCGAATTACTCATTTTTATCCAAAATTCTCATTCTGGTGTTTTTTTTTTTAATAATAAATCAACTACTGCTCCAAAAATTGTCGTTCTCCTGTCACCAGGCCTCCACAGCACTTAATGTAATATCTTGGGTGCGTTTTCTTTCTGTGAGTTTCATAGTTCACTTTCTGCCTTGCAATCATGAACCTCAAACCATCTCATACTAGTGTAACGCATATAAAAACAATGTTTTATGGAAAGCAAATAGGATTTGGATTATTCTGCTAATATTCAGAACAACAACAGGGAAGTTCAGATGCTGCTGTTTTGAATGTGTGTGATGTTGACAAAAGCTCTCAATTTCCTCACCTGGTTGCGTGCCTGGGAATAAGTGTAGGGAGAAGGGGTTGGAATATTTGCCGCCAGCACAGCTGCTGCCATTGCCTCGAGTCAGGATTTTTTTTAACAAGCTAAATTCCTTCTTCACATTCTTATTCTGGTGCATCTGAAATATTTTTAGCTTTGCTATTTAGCATTGCTCTTTCCACGGACATCTCTGGGAGTTTCAATGTGGCTGCCAGAAGCCTTCGACAAAATGCAGCCACACCCTTCGTCGGAGGGAGTTTCTCTTCCCCTCTCAGATGCCTCCAGTGTCTATGTATACTTTTTCACTTAAAATAATTTAAAAGACAATTGGTTTTTTGGGGGGGGGTGGGGTGGGGTGGGTTTTTTTTAAGCAGATGAGGTGGGCAAGGAGAGCTGAAAACAGTTGTACGTTCCTTGACCCCCATAAAGAAAATCCTGAATCTTGACCAGCACCTTTGCTCCGAAGGCCTCTCCTTTAAAAGTCCCCAGAGCCTGTTTTAAAACTTCGCCGTTGCTGCCGAGGGAGAGGTCCGTTGCGGGTCCCGGAGCCGGGCCCTTTGCGTTGTCATTAATAGCGCTCTGGTTTTAATGAGGCACGAGCCAGCGCTCCGCGTTTTTAGTCTCCGGAAGGGCCTCGGGCGCTACCTGAGCGTTGCCGGGGGCCGCTTGGGCCGGCTCCGGCGGGCACCGTTCGGTGCCCGCCA